TGTACACGGCACGCTATCAACGTCTGTTTGGCTGGCCTATTCCGGCACCGATTAGCGACTGCTCGCGCGCGGTGACACGCTTGTTTACTGTAACAAGAGGTGTGTTCAATGCGTGCTGTGGTGATGCGAAGACCTACGACTCGGAAGATCTGGATGCTGTTTTAGAAGATTAGCGAGCTGTACCAGTCTTGTACAGCTCGAGGGTTCTATTGCAAGCGCCAATCGGATCGATAAGCCGCAGAACAATAACTGAGGTACTCCAACTTGTTCCCGAACACTCGCAGCCTAGTGAAAGAACGACAAAGCCTCTGCACGAGTCAGACGCTCGTGTTCAATGCATTGGCCTTCACCTGGGAGAAGGATGTACGTCTAGCAACGGTCGGAAAGGAAGCAACGACCGTGAAGGCCGAGGAAGCTGTATCAATTAATACCGGTTGTTTGCTCAAGGCGAGGCTTTGTCCTTTCCGTACGGAACCGTTCTCGCCTGATAGTGCCAGACAAGGTATCTTCCCATTGAGGCTGTCAAGATGTAGGTCCATGTCTAGCATGGACGTCGACTCGGACGTTAGCATAGCTTCATGTAGAACAACGGTTGTATATATTCAGCTTGATGTAGCCACCGTTGGACGTTGAACGAACGGGTCCATGCCTTAGATCGGGCTCTCGGAAAGCGTGTCTTCGCGCAGCGCACACGGCTACAGCGCATTTGTGTATGGAGTACGTGCCGCTGACAGTAAATTGCGAGTCACGAGCGAGTCGAGCGTCGAGCACACTTCGGCTGAGACTCGGCAATCGGGTGCAGTGTTTTTTTAGCAGTGCAGTACAGTACCGTAAAGTTCTACTGGAAGTGACAATTGTCATCGCTTAAATGTCCGGAATGTACTACAAGTGGACTAAGTATTAGAGCCAACCACTCGGCGTGGGACTCGCCGCAGTTGGGCTTGGCGAGGGCTGGACTGGAAACGCTTCCGCGTCACCACTGGGTCACTGTTCTGCGCCGCCCACACGTTGGCCTGTTGTTTACTCCAGTACCTAGCTTCTTAAAGGCTCTGCCTACCCGTCACTCCTTTCTCCCCTACCACTCCCTTGCACAGACTCCCTTCCCTTCTCCCGTGTCCCGTTCTCCCGTGATACCATCGGCATCGCTTATGAGTACGTCTCATATAGTGCCACCGCGGGCTTTGAGAGGGTTCTGACGCTTCTGGTACCCCTTAGCCAGCAACGACCACCACAGCGGGAATCTCAACGCCTCAGATTTCGCCGACCCAGGTTCGAGCGTTCATACGGATACCCCACTAAGGTACGTAGACCACCTCGTCATTCCCAGGTGAAAGCCTGATTTGGCGCTTGCGCTCCCATATACGCCTCGAGTACGGCACGGAACCTGACATCACCATTGTTTTCTCCAGACGCGACTTTGCTCGTGACAACGCGACGACGACGACCATGGCGAGCCCGAAGACATCCTCTGCCGCACCAGCGGATAGTAGAGATCCGATACGGGAAGACACCCTTCCAGATCCACAGGCGCCACCGGTATATGACGACGACAACGCGAATGGCAAGAAGAAATCGAATAAATTCCTTCAACTACTTCGTGTGGCCAGTACACGCCTGAGGGACCAGGCGAAGCCCGAGGTTGTAATCGGCGCACCGCCAACACTACTCCAGCAATTCAAGTCGGTCATCTTCATGTCCTGGTTGAATCTGTTATTAGTGTTCATCCCTCTCGCCGTGCGTACTTGCTCCGTATCACACGTTGTATCCTGGCTGACATGACTTCGCGCAGTGGGCCTTCCATTTCGCGAAATTGGACAACACGCTCATCTTCGTCTGTGCGTGGGTTTCGCCCCGTTACCATGCCGCAGTCTCCTGACCTACTGTAGTTTCCTTCATCGCCATCATACCTCTCGCGCAGCTCCTCGCATACTCGACAGAGGAGCTCTCTACGCGCGTAGGTCAGACGCTTGCCGGTCTCATTAACGCGACCCTAGGAAATGCGTATGCCCTCCACCCCCCTCTCATTTACTGTGGCTGACCATCAGCCAGTGTCGAGTTGATCGTCGCTATCATCGCGTTGACAAAGTGCGAACTCCAGATCGTGCAGTCATCTCGTGAGTGTGATTCATTCTCGTTGATATCGACGATGCTGTGCCGCGGCGCCCGGGCGAACCGATGTGTTGCACGTTCAAACATCTCGGTTTTCCGGCGAGCTTGAGTTCCTCAGAGCAGTGCAGCGACTCACTTGCTTGAAAGTCCTCGTGGCTAAGTCCATAGGCGCCGCCATTGAGCCTGAATCCCGATTTTCTCTATTGGACAAAAACACACATACTGATTCTCCTTCTCTAGTCGTCGGCTCTATTCTGAGTAATCTGCGTGAGTATCGCCGTTTATCGACATACGCAACTGTTACTAACGCACATTCAAGTCCTTGTACTTGGAATGTGCTTCTTCGCAGGCGGAACCAAGTTCGCTGAGCAAGGCTTCGCATTCAGCGCATCACAGATCAACACGTCTCTGCTCACGCTCTCTGTCATCGCCGTCTTGCTCCCTGCTGCCTTCCACTTGGCTCTCCACGACATCCCGACAGATTCGAACAGCACAGCCCTCAACACAGCCCTGAAGAACGAGGGCACGGATATCCTCGCGATCTCGCATGGCGTCGCCCTCATCCTCTTGTTCATCTATCTTTGCTACCTTGTCTTCCAGCTCTTCAGTCATAAGTCGCTGTACGACGAGACAAACCCGGACAACCTCCACGCGAGCACGGCATACTCTCCTCGCGGCCCCAAGAACTCGGCTCTTCGCGCCCGTCTCCGCCATCCCTTCCACAGCAGCGAGAAGACCAACGGCCTCGCAACCACCTCCAGTGGAAACGAGATGGTCGGCTCTCCGCGCGCCGAGGAACACGAGATGACCGTTCCAAGCTCGCCTAATGCGGACGCGGAGCAGGGTCGTACGGCCCAGGTTGAAGAGGAGGAGGAGGGAGAACATACGCCTGAGCTCAGCGTGCTCTTCACCGTCATTCTTCTTGTCGCCGTCACGGTCCTCGTCGCCATTACTGCCGAGTTCCTCGTCGACTCCATCGACGAGCTGACTAATACTGGTGCCATCAGCAAGGAGTTTGTCGGCCTCATCCTGTTGCCCATTGTGGGTAACGCGGCCGAGCACGTCACCGCCGTCACGGTTTCCGTCAAGGACAAGCTCACGCTCTCGCTCGGTGTTGCCGTCGGCTCCAGTATCCAGATCGCCTTGTTCGTTATCCCGTTCATCGTCACGCTCGCCTGGATCCTTGGCAAGCCGCTCACGCTACTCTTCGACCCGTTCGAGAGCATCGTTCTTTTCCTCGCCGTCCTGACTGTCAACTACGTCGTCCAGGATGGCAAGAGTAATTGGCTCGAGGGGATGATCCTTATGTGTACGTCTCGCATGCCTTTGCTTGTCTGCCAGCGATACTGATTATATTCTAGGCCTTTACATCATTTGCGCTGTGGTGTTCTGGTATTACCCTGGCAGCAACATTGCGGACTCGATCACCAGCGGTTGCGACAACATCCCATCATAAACGAGTTATAGACGCCTAATCCTTGCCGCTATCCTTCTCCATAATATGTTGGTGTCAACCTCTCGTCTTTTGGCACTCGTCGCAATTACGCCTGTTGTCGTTCCCTTCTCGCTGTCGTATATACCCCTCCTCAGGACCTCCTCCCCTTCTTGCCTCGATTCCTCGGCCGTTGTCTACCCGCACACAGACTACTATGTCCCCCCTCTATCTTTCGCGTCCATCGACCTCTCCCTTTCGGATATTTTTACACGTCCTTAGTACTCGTACGGCCACGGCTCACCAGACAACATGTAGCTTATATACGGCTCAATTGCTCGATCAGATTTGATTTGAGATTATATACGCGCATGGAGCGTTCGTGTTGTTATGCATGCACTATTACTTATGCGACGAAGGAAGCCGTGGAACGTCTCCGACAACCAGGTTCGACATGGTATTGAAGTCGTTCTTTGTGGGCTTCCGCCGCTCTGCCTCTGTCGTACAGGCAGAGCGTGAACACGTTGACATATTTGAATGTGACATTACTCATGTAGCAGTTGCTTTCATTGCAGGGGATGATGTTCGTGTTCACGATGGGTACAAGGTATCGTGTAGATGTTTCGCAATCGCGTACAGAACTGTCATACGGGCAAGGGAAGAGACTAGGGATCTACCGAGTGCCACTCCGGAGGACGGTCGAGCCTCAGCACCTCTTGCAGCTTCTTCAAGCCCTCCTGGTTGGGAACAGGGAGGATGCCTTCTTTGAACATCCCCGCGTCAAGCCCACCCGAGTAGTTGCGGGATAGCCAGATAATATCTTTGAACGCAAACGCGCCTATGCCGGGGCACGCCTTGGCGCAAAGTCGGACAACACGGGCGTCGACGTCGTTGGCGATGACGTCCTGGTCACACTGCGGCCGGGAATCGGAGTGTTTCTCGAGGAACTCGTCAATATTGATCTTCCACCCGAACAGGACATGCCGGAACTGCATTGGCTCAGGGATGGGTGGCGGGGCCACGAAGGTTCGCTTGGTCCTCTTCTTCACCCTGTATATCACATTAACCTTAGCGCATGCCACAGCTGTTACTGTACGCACCGGCCTGCCCGTGGCTTCCTCTGGTTTCGCTCCGTACTAGGTGATTCCGCGTCAGCTTGACTCATTATTCTGCATGAGTGTGAGCACAGACGCAGTAAATGACAGAATAGTGAACGGACACTTTGCGAGGAGTGAGGGCGGGTGCAACTGTGTGCTTCGCATATGAACGGGAACCACGTGCCGTTTACCAGGCTACATATTCCTGCCCAGCAGTGCCCAGCGAAGTTCAAACTCAGGCCTCAGACTTTGAGCTCAACCTTCCGAAGTGTCGAAATAATGACTGTGAGCTGCAGCCTCCAAGTAGGAGCACCAAAAGCGCCAGGGAGTTGAACCAAAAAGGCTCTAGAGATAGTGACCGAAGGTCCTGCCAGGACTCGAACCTGGGTTAGCGGAATAATCTTGAGGTCAGAATCCGCTGTGATAACCACTACACTACAGGACCAATGACGCGACAAAAGCTCACCAGTACAGAGCCGCCAAAAGGATTCGAGAGATTGCAGCATTCTTGAATTCGCAGTACAATACAAATAACATGATGAATACGTGTGCAGAACAAATATAAATGAAATGAGACGAGGCGTAGTCTGTGTAGAAGCAAGCTCCACAAGCAACGTAGGATTAGAGCTTCGCCTTGGGCGTGCCCTCTACAAGGGTTGCCGCAGCGGCTGCAAGAACCGTCGTACCGCGCTCCTTGACCTTCGTTTCTACAATCATCGTCAATAAAGGATCAAAACCGATCAACGTAAAACAAACGCACGGAAGATGACCTTGTTACCCTCCTTCCACATCTCCGTGACGAGCGTCTCGCCGGGGTAAACGACGCTAGCGAAGCGAACTTTGATATCACTGAAAGCGCCGTACGTCTTCACGACGTGCTTGCCCGCGATACCCATGAAGCAGAGACCTGATACACGCAGATCAGTAAAGATGTAACAGCATAGATGGTCTAAGCGTACCATGCAAGATGGGCTTATCGAAACCACCGACGGCTGCGAACTCGGGTTGGATCTAATACCGAAAGCGTTAAAGCGCTGAGATTGAACAGAAAGGCCAAGACAGTCTTGAAACTTGAACGTACGTGCAGGGGGTTGTAGTCGCCACTCAACCTGTACAGCGCCGCTTGGGACTCGGACGTCTTCTCCTCGACAACGGCGTCAGGTGCCCGTTTGGGAATAGGGTTCGCGGCGGTCGCGGCACCACGGTCGCTGCCCTTGGTCTTGCCGCCAAAGCCGCCCGAGCCGCGAATGACGGTTGTGCTTTGGTTCTCGAAGACGACTTTGCCAGTATGCTTGTCCTTCGTCGTGACGATAGCAGTGACGGCTGCAGCCTTGCCTTTATCGAGCACCTCCAACAACCGAGCCTCATTGACGAGCTCGCCGGAGGTGGGGATCGGACCCTTGATCGAGAGGTACTGCTCGCCATGCAAGAGCTTCGCGGGGTTGAAGTTCGGCAAGAAGTCGAGCGGTAATGAGCTGCTGGCGGGGAACTGCGGGATAACACCGAACGTCGGTAAAGCGGAGAAGTTCTCGTCGCTCTCAAACGTCCATTGCAGCTCCTTCTCCGTCGCGCCGATACCGAGGTTGTACAGGATCACGTCGCGTTCGGTGTAGCTGTACTCTGTGGGCTCGGAGACGTCCTTCTTCGCGTCCTTGACGAGCTGTGAGTCTTCGGGGTCTTCATAGGGAGAGGAGGCGGAAGACTCTTCCTCGCCGCCTTCGTTGTTGAAGTTGGCGACGAGAGGCTCCATACCCTCCTGAGTGGATGCCGGATGCGAAGCGCGACCGTCGTCTACAGGTTATCAGTATCTTCGAGAAGGGTCATCGAAAGCAAGTGCCTCACCGAAGTTGGTGATCTTCTCCCACTTCTCCTTGATAGCCTCCGGAGTAAGCGCCTTCTTGATAGAGAAGCCATGTCCACCCGCAAGCTGCCAGCGGACCTGAGCAGCCCATCCACCAGAGACCTCGAAGAGACCACCAGTCGTCTCGTTATCCTCACTCGTCAAGTAACCGACGACGGGCGCGACGAAGTCGGGCTTGAACGCGTCTACCATCTCCTTCGGCCAGACCGTCATGGTCATTGCGGTGCCGGCGGACGGCGCGATGGCGTTGGCAAGGATGTTGTATTTCGCGCCCTCAATTGCGAGAGTGCGCGTAAGACCGATGATAGCTGCCTTGGCGGTGGTGTAGTTGGTCTGGCCGAAGTTGCCATCTGTAAAGCAGTCAAATCAGTTCCTGTGCGGCGAAGAACAAGAACGATATACGCACAAATACCGACGCCAGAGGACGTTGTGACGATACGTCCGTACTTCTGCTTCTGGAAGATAGGCCATACAGCTTTCGCGCACTACAGAACGGGGTCAGTAAACGTGTTTGAATACTTCTCAATAGGCGAACGTACCCTGAACGTGCCACGCAAGTGGACGGCAATGACGGCGTCCCACTCGGCTTCAGTCATAGCCGTGAAGGACTTGTCGCGAAGAATACCAGCATTCGCAACGAGAATGTGGACACCGCCGAAGGCGTCGAGAGCAGCCTTGACAATACCCTCGCCGTCCTCTGCTGAACAGACCGCTGCGACAGCCTTGCCGCCAGCTGCAATCGGTTGTCAGCACTTGACTTTGATTCCACTTGCGCGTTCAGCGTACCCTGCTTAATCTCCTCCACGACTGCAGCAGCGCCCTTCTCGCTCACATCGTTAACAACGACATTCGCACCAAGCTTGGCGTACATGAGTGCGTAGATGCGTCCAAGACCGGCTCCTGCGCCAGTGATGATAGCAGTCTTGCCGTCGAAGCGGGTCTCGGGCTTTGCTTGCTCGTTCGGCTTCATGTTCTTGGCCTTCTCGAGCTTCTCGATGATGTTACCGTCTTGCATGCTCTGCGGGCTGTAATACAAAACTGCTTCAGCTCTCTGTAGAAGGGGACTAGGGGAACATATGCATACTGGTCAGGGTTGGTGAAGTTCGTAACTTCTGCCCAGCGTGCCTTGACAGCGCTCGGAGTGAATGAAGTATCGGTCTTGAAGATCGCGCCTTTGCTGCGCTCCCAGCGAATCTCGGAGACGTAGCCTGCACCGAGAACGAAGACACGGCCGTTGGCGTCGATGCCTTCGGGGTGAGTGACGAGAGCTACGAGAGGCGCAACGTATTCGGGCTTGAAGTGCTCGAGCATTTCTGGAGGCATGACAGTTGCGGTCATCGCGGATGCGGCGATCTACTCAAAAGTTAACTTTGCAGACTCGCATCAGTACATGGAGGTGCTTACGGGTGCGATGGCGGTGGAAAGGATGTTGTACTTTGCACCCTCGCGCGCTAGAGTCTTCGTAAATGCAATAAGACCCATCTTCGCCGCGCTGTAGTTAGCCTGGCCAAAATTACCTGCTTCACGTCAGCACGTTCTGAAACATGATGAAAGTAACCAATAAGAGCGCACCGAAGAGACCAGCGGCGCTCGCAGTGTTGACAATGCGACCGAACTTCTGCTTGCGGAAGATAGGCCATGCAGCTTTAGTGCATGCAAATGCGCCCTTGAGATGAACTTCCTGAATTTGGTCCCACTCCTTGTCGCTCATGTTCTTGAAGCTGCATCCAGCATAAGCGCTCGTAATCTCTCATGCACGAGATGTATGATACGTACCCCTTATCCCGGAGGATACCAGCATTGTTGATGAGAATTGTAACTGTGCCAAAAGCATCGACAGCAGTCTTGATCACGGCAGCGCCATCCGCGACGGACCCGATGTTAGCCACGGCGTTGCCGCCACCTATCACTCATTCAGCTCTATATCTCGGAGGGGGGAGTAGTCAAATACGCACCAGCCTTGATCTCGTCGACAACGGCTTGGGCCGCTTGAGCATTAAAGTCGTTCACAACGACATTCGCGCCTCGCGAGCCGAACAGAAGACAATACCTAAATGTGCGCGTTAACTTACTATGTCTCAGATAAATAACAGTAGAAAGGGGACGAACGCCTTGCCGAGGCCTCCACCAGCACCAGTGACTACGACGGTGTGGCCCTTGAATGAGAGCGACATGACGGGTGGTGGTTGAGTTGAGAAAGAAATGCGGGGTGTACGCTCGGACGCGCCGACGTAGACATTCGGGTTTAGGAGCGCACGCATGTGATTCTTTTACCCCGGACTCTCTGCGCGGTTGCGATGACATGTGTTGTTCGTCCTCTTGCGCAGACGATCTCATGACGAGGGGCAGATTCAGCTGTTTGTCTGTGACCGATACCCCGGTGAAGGAAACTTGTAGCCCGGTAAACCGTCGCATACATACAACAGCAGTTCGGGACCTTCGGGTGCCCAGTGAAGGCATCTATGAACGCGTGACGTCACGCGCGTACAGACGGTACAGTGCTTCTACCCGATTCATCCTCCTGAGCAGTCGCTCTGCCTACTATGCCAATAAGGTTCGCGCGGGGCTCTCAGAGTTGGTGGGTCGAGGACGCCCGACCGCAGGTCTCTTCCCACCGTTCACCACACTTTGCGAACGAGCGCTGCATCGCTAGTCTCATGCTACCGACGACTACGAGCTTTGCCGCCAACCACTGCCGTCCTCAAATCATCGGGTCTAGCGAAGTTCATTCATATGCTCTGAGAGTATGATCTTTATGCCCTGAAATGAGCTAAACTATATAGACGAGTCGGGACGCGAGCCATGAAAGCGAAGGGACTTAGAGTCTAACACCGGTGCTAAGGGACCATCTGAATACAAGGGTAGATGCGCCAGTCCGCGTGAGTATACCGAACACGAATTATAACTGTCCGCGCCAGGGTCCTTTTTTTCTATTCCAGGGCTCAGTACCACGCTCCTATTCTGCCGATCCGCGTCTAACAACGCACCTTTCACACTCGAACATCAGTTCCCTCCTGAGAGGCATCCGCTTCCTCAATACTCGGCCCTCCTTCCTCGGCACTCCGCAGTGATGGGCTATCAGGTGGCTCTCCTTCGACAATGAAGGTACCAGTATTCAGCGCGCCCGGGGCTCCTGGAGCTGCGTCTTCCTCGACTGGAACGATGGGCAACTTCGAAGTGGGTGGAAAAGGTATGACTGCCTCCGCTTCCACGTGGGTAGGTACGACCAAACCGCCCGGCGTTGTGTGATAGACCTCTTCATCTTTGCGAGGAGATGATGTGCCGGTAAGGTTGCCAGTCACGAGTAGGGGCATGGACGTGATGAGATGCTCAGATGGCTGCCGATGGTCGAGAGCCGGGTTGGTTACAGGTTTACGTTGTTGTCCTTCACCTGGAGAGCTTGGTTGCGCAGGCATGTCCGCCTGAAGGGGTTCCTCCTGCACACCGGGTGCGAGATCCGAACCCGAATCTTTCGGGGCAAGCGGGGTCACAAACCCAAAGTCTCTCCACTCTTGTTCATACTCGAGCTTCGTGCGAGAAGGCTGTGACGGACTCGGCTGTGTGTCCGAGACCAAACTCGTCAG